TGAGCTAATTGGGAGCGCTAAAGAACCGCCTGTAATGATAAAAGCCGTATGTAAAGTGTCTATAGCCATTAACGCAAGGAGCTTTTACATAAACTACCTAAAGCTGTTACAATATTTCCAAGTCTCATTTCTATACAGATAGATAAAGCAGATGATATTATTATGAACTATAGTAAAATTAGAAAAATGCCAATCTTCTCCTTCTCCCCTCACGAAAAAAAGGAGAGTTGAATCTCACTCAATTATCCCCCCAGGAACTGGTTGAAAGATAATAACTTAACACATTTGGAATGGAAGGATCTGGTCAACAAAATGTATGGAATGGGAAAAAATAACAATGAGAATAAGTTCACATCTTTGATGAAAATTAGAAAAATAGGTGGGGGGGACATACCAAACATAACATTATGCCTCTATGGTAAGATGTGACCATTAATGTATGTATCAATGTGAGTATCAACGATGTATTCGTTATCTGTTATCTGTTAGCTACAGTCAATCTAATATGTTCATTCATTCATTTTTTTTTTTTCGATTAATGGATTGTTATTTTGTTATCTAATTTCTCTTAACTGTATCTAATTGTGTTATGATCACTAAACAGATAATTTCCTAAAATGCAAATAAAAAAACATTAAAAATAACATTGTCCCTCCGAGCTCCTATAGTCAAGATGGCAGGATTGACAGCAATCAATAAGGAATGTAAAAGTCTTTAAAATTCTTAGTTTGTTTATTGTTAATCCCCTTCAACATGAAAAGTCCTTGAACATACACAAAATATAAGCTTGATGTGTGCAGAAGTATGTGAGATTGGCCTTGGACAGTCATACAGAAACATACATGTTCACACATGACCAAACCCCCCACAGGCTTATGCTTGTTGGAGATACAAAACATATCTTATGATTAAACATTTATTCGAGGATGCTACTGAATGTGAATATCTCTGTCTGTACATGACATGGGAGTGACCAGGAAGGATATGTTCTATATATGTATAATCCATTTGGGGTGAATCCAGAACCATCAAACACCCTGAGCAAGCCCACGCCTGTCTCATCCACCTCCATGATTATTTCTCCTGTCACTTACAGATTGGCAGCCGGTGGGATCTGAGGACAGCTGGAGAGGTGATTGGCTGGATGTCATGATTGATGGATGAACATGTGTAGACAAGTGGCTGAGCCTTTTACGACATGCAGGAAGATATCGAGGAGTTGAAGGAGAGAGACGGTGTAAGCAGAATGTAGGAGGCCTTGCAGGGGAGAGTGAATCATCCCCTGTGTGCTTAAGGTGGTTAATATGTTACATAGGCATTATTGTGATGAAGGGCGGAGGCGGGGTGGAGTGGGGTGTGCCGGAGGTTAAGGTAGATAACAGAGTTTATGGAAAAATTCACCTCCGGTTATGACACAATGTTGCACAAAAAAAGGAAGATAAATCATTAAGATCAAGTCATATTTGTTCTATTTTATTTTTTATTTCATTTTTTTGTGATTTACCTATACTTTATTTTTTTTGTAATAGTTTTGATTCCAAGCAAAGTGCATCTGTTAATGAACTAAGTCAATAAATAAAACTTTAAAAAAAAAATTGTAATTGAGTGAAATTTCATAAAAACAGCTATATTGACATGTGGAGATCTGCATATTAGTCCATAACACTTCTCCATATAATTAAAAAACGGCATGTTTCATAAATATAGTCAATATGCATTTCAAATAATTATTTTAATGTTATTTAAATTCAGGAACGTGATGTTTTTAGTGGATTGTGCATGTGTTTTATTATCTATTTTTGTCAAACATTCTGGAGTAATATAGGTGGGCGTTGTTGTGTGCAGAGTTTCAATTTCTCTAGAAAGAGGAAGTCATTCATAGAGGCGTTGTGTAAGCCTACTGCTGCTGTGCTTTTCCCCCCTGTGACCTCTACAGCAGGGCTATTCAATTGGCGGCCCGCGGGCCAAATCCGGCCCCGGGGTGATATTTACTGGCCCTTTGAGTATAATGTTAAAAAGTAATCAATTTTTTTTTTTTAAGATTTCTTTTTTTTTTTTTTTTTGTGCCATAGTGCCTTTATTCCAGAGAGGGTGTTACATTGAGAGATAGAGGGGTAGACAATGCCTGAAAACTTCGACGGGCTCGGGTTTCGAACCCACCTACTATACTGTAGTGACAACTCCTGTCATTGATTGCATCTCTGCGTGAATGATTAGATAATTTCACCTAAATGAAATCAAATGAAACATGTAGGCCTACTGAGTTCTGAACTTGCCATTTAGATCTATAAAGGCCTTGGGGCTATGTTGTTTGATTGAATTAAACACAATATATGCACTCCACTATGCTGTTGTAGTATTTACTGTATCTGAAGCTCTTAAATATGATTGCTCATATTTCAAGCCATCTTTTTCCCGGCCCCTTGCTTTGGATCATTTTCATCAACCGGCCCCCATTCCAAACTAATTGAATAGCCCTGCTCTACAGTTTCAGAGTGCAGTGCATGACCGAGGAGTAAAAGTAAAGGTGGCAAACACTTGAGTGACTGTGGCAAGAGCTCATCAGATATGGGACTTTATAGTAGGCCTATAAGAACCTGTTGCCCTCTCCTCGGGGGACACTTCCAGAGATTGGACTGAGCAGCTGGCCCCAAAGCGAGCAGTGCAACTAATAATCTGTCCTTCTGACAGATGGGGTTAGATGGCTGTCATTTGAGCCGTGCTGATCATGCAGGCAGGGATATGTGCGGCAGCCCCTCCAGCAGAGATGCGCTCACTGGTGGCATTTCATAGGCCTGCGGTCACTGTCACACTCACCGCTTTGGAACTCTCCATTTTCACACACCTCTCCTATGCCCCTGACTGAGCATGAACTCGGTGCACACTCCTCTTTCTGAGCCACTCAAGACACTATAGAACCCTTGAACTACTCTCACTTAGTAATACAGTAGCCTTACAGTATCATATGTTTCACATGTTGGACACAAACACTGTTGTGCAATAACACTACTTAAGTGCAATATTTACTTCTTCTTTTTTTACAATGTAATATTGTTTTCACACTGTTGTGAATAACATTTGCAATATATACTATTTTAAGAATTAGGAATCTTATTAACAGCTGCTAGTTCTCTATACTTTTATTCACTTGTATAATGATGCTACATATTTCTTATAAGAAATACAAATACTATTTATGTTATATTAGTTTTAATGTATTTATTGCCTTGGATGTGCTTATTTAATTTAAATTCTGGTATCTATTTTTTTTGTTATGTTTACTTGTTTCTATATTTTATATGTAAGTCCACTCATTTTATTTAGCTTTTTCATCTGCACTTTACCTATTGCTGTAACATTGTACATTATTATTATGTGGGGGAAAAAAATGATTTCTGATTGTGATTTCTAACATCAAGCTGTACATTCTATAAAATCAATAAGAGGCTACAAAAAAGAGGCTAAATATCTGCTAAATGTTTACACACACATATTTAAGAAACTAGAAAAACAGGATGTGCTTAACTCTGTCAAAAGTGAATATTGACACTCACGAGTGCCATAGTTCAACACCTTCATTTGCATATTGTCTTCAAAAACTTCAGAGGTAGGCTTAAAGAAGGAATTTGCAAAAGGCGTAAGGAAAGTATGCTCCAATTTTCATTCCAGACAGAGGGGCTCACCTGCAGACAGTTTGAGCAATAGTTCACTAACCTGTATGAACAAGACTGTTTGGGTTATATATTTTTGGTTTGGTTTGCAGATCTCCACATGTTGGCCCATTTAACATAATATAAATTAAATAAAGGGTTGCTTGAACATGCATACAAAATTATTGGAAGAAAAGATGAATTCTTCTTTGTTATTAAAAATAGTGAAGTTTTCCGAAATTGATGTGAAGTTGATCATAACAATTAAAGATTGCAACATTACAGACGTGTACAATTTATCAGCAATAAAATGGTTTTACAACTTGTCATGAAATCTCAAAGGAAAACAAAACTTAACTCAGTCATGGGGGAGAGGGAGAACCATGCCATTCAGACAATAACATGCGCGGGAAAAGAAGGGCGGAGAGAGGAGGAGCAGAGGGTAAAAAAAGGGGGGGTAAATGGAAGTCTTTTTATCTCTAGTTTCCCACATCCTGTGAACGACTGCAAACGGGCCACCCAATCTGAAAGAATGACAGGAATGCGCCTATTCTCCGCGGCGCGCTTTGATGCGCAGCCAGTAGAGAGGCATTGTCAGGCAACTCAAATAAAGAGCATAGTCCTGGACTTCACTTCAGCCAATAAACCTCAGTGTTTAATGTGAAAATAATCAGGTAAATGGCAGGGGGTTAGAATAGCTGGAATGCAATTGATGAACTTCTCTCAGGTTGTGTGTGTGACTCATCGTGCAAAATGGCTTTATTAAGCCATGTGGGTGCTTTAGTGCAACTACTAACAGAAACAGTATGCTTCTTTTCTTAAGTGCAGACACAACACGTGGAGAAAAGTGGACAATTACAAAGCAAGGTAATAGGAGACATCTGCGATAAAGTGAATCGGTATATTTTAAAATAGAATAATAATCTAGTTTCTCCTTAGAACAATACACTCCTATTGTTTTGTGAAGTCTATTATTAATAATAGTAGGCCTATGATTATACTTTTATTTGAGTCTCCCGCAAAAGGGAGGAGACAACTTGGGGAGCACTTGGCTGCAATTAGCATTTCTCTGCAACTTGAATTCATAATCACAATTTAAGTATCACCACCCCCCTTTTTTCTTTATTTTTTCTCGCGCGTTTTTATTCCCGCCACGTCTGTGTCTGGCCCAGCCGGTTATAAGGTTGGCTGTGTTTCCATTATGTGATTGACGTGCATTTGGACTGCGTTTTCGCATTCCTATTGGTGCAGACAGCGGAAAGGGGAGGAGAAACATTGACGTCAGTGCATGTGGCATCGCCCCCTTACTACTGGCTTATAAGCGTCCTCCCCCCTCACTAGATGTTTCCAAGAGCCGGTGTCCGACAGACATTTCTCATACACTGTGTTTATCTGTTTATATCCTATAACTGTTTACAAAACAGTGCGAGGAACAGCTGTGTTTTGCAGTAGATTGTATTGTGAATACAGTTATACATACTCTAGGTGGGACGACATTTCTGTTATATTTTCCTGGATTCACAAGCGGCTTTTCTTTCATCTGGATGAGAGGACCCTTACCGCATTTTTGTTCCAGCAACGTGGACTCTAAGCTCTACACGGGAGACGGGAGAGTCATACAAACGGAATAATATTGCTGAAACGAAGTCAAACGAAGAACACACACACGTCGTAAACCACTGGTGGATATATCCTTAAAGGAATGCTTCTGTCCAAGCTGAATTCTCTTGCCCACATCTCCGCCGTAGACATGCCGGCGAAAATGCAGCACCAAGTTCATCAAGGTTAGACGCCCTTCTTTTTCTCCTCCGTGTTGTCATTGAGCACGGGGCTGCAGCAATGGCCGGCAGCCCGCTTATCGTAGCTTATCCTTACGTGTTATACTTGACTATTTTCAAGCACGGCAGTTGTTTTTGAGCATACTATTATGTATTAACAACGTATTATCAGTATTATTGCTTTTTCATATTTCTAAACTGCTGTTTCTTTGGTGTATGCACTGGTATTTTCAGAGCTTAGTTTCCCGGGTATTCACCGGCTGTGTTTATGTTTTGTCCACAGGGAAGGAGAAGGAGCCCTTCGAGAAGCTGTATCAGGTCGGCGCGGTGCTGGGTAGCGGGGGCTTCGGCACCGTCTACACCGGTACGAGGGTGGCTGACGGAGCTCCGGTAAATACGCCTTATACGTCTTATTATAAGAATACATTTTAAACCAGCTGTTTTGCATGTTTATATGCTTTTTGTACATGTTATTTGACGCGGTGTCTTCTTTGCCCTTCTAGGTTGCTGTCAAACACGTAGCCAAGGACAGAGTCTCAGAGTGGGGAGAGCTGGTAAGAAGTCATTATTAGCGCTAATATTCACCTAATTAACAGTATACTATACACAATAGTAGTATATTGCTTTAATAATGGACAATGAAGTGAAATATTCGAAGTATTATAGCATTATTTTAGCCTTTGATGTTCGAAGTGTTTATGTTATTATTATTATTATCTCTTCAGCCTAATGGCTCGCGGGTCCCAATGGAGATCGTGCTGTTGAAGAAAGTGAGCTCGGGCTTCCGCGGCGTTATCAAAATGCTGGACTGGTACGAGCGACCGGACAGCTTCATCATCGTAATGGAGAGGCCCGAAAACGTCAAAGACTTGTTCGACTTCATCACAGAGAAAGGGGCCTTACCGGAGGATCTGGCGCGGAGCTTTTTCCGCCAGCTGCTGGAGGCCGTGCGCCACTGCCACAACAGCGGCGTGGTGCACCGCGACATCAAGGATGAAAACATCCTCATCGACCTCCGCACCGGGGAGATCAAGCTCATCGACTTTGGGTCCGGAGCCCTGCTAAAAGACACCATTTACACAGACTTTGATGGTGAGTCATCACAGCTCAAAACAGTCTTCGACGTGTTTATTTTATTGCATTAGTTTCAACATCATCCAGTAGCCCTGGTTTAGTCAGGGGCAGGAATTCTAAGGTTGTGTCATTTCTGACATCCCCCCTCCAAAGCAGCATATTAATACAGGCTGAGCAGCATTGCCTTTGCTTTGGCGCCCCCCATAGGAGGGAAGCTGCATTTTTACAACTCAAAGTTTGTAAACAAAGTCACATGTCCGCTACCCCCCTCCCACACACACTCTGCTCTCTCACACACACAGACTGTCACACTCTCTGCCACCTGAGCCCAGATAACAGCCTCCCAAACAACAGATAACGCTGCACTCTTTGTTAATAATTCAACCACACCTGCAATGCTTTCATTTTCAATTTGACTGAAGTACAATAATAGATTCTGGAGTGCTTAGCTAATACGTGTGCATTTGTACAGTTTTTAAAGGTGTTTTTCTTTTTTTCTGACAGGCACAAGAGTGTACAGCCCACCAGAGTGGATCAAATATCACCGCTATCACGGGCGCTCTGCCACAGTTTGGTCTCTGGGTGTCCTGCTGTACGACATGGTGTGTGGGGACATTCCATTTGAACACGATGAGGAGATCACAAGAGGGCAGGTCCTCTTCCGGAGAAGAATCTCAACAGGTAAATTCACATTCCAAAACATGCATCAGCATTTTCGTTGACATTCACATGATGTGTCACACTCAGTTCATTGCACCATACTTACTTCTCCTCCTCTTCCTCCTTCAGAATGCCAGCAGCTGATCAAGTGGTGTCTTTCTCTGCGGCCCGCCGATCGCCCCTCCTTCGAGGACATCATCAATCACTCGTGGATGCAGAGCACATCCTCTTCAGTCGTCCCGTCCACAATGCAGACGGAGAAGGCGGAGATCCGACTGCACAGCATCGCCCACGAGCCCACCGCCTTCACGCCAACTCCCGTACCCGCGGCTCGGTGATGGAGGCAAACAGAACTGTACTGAACTGAGACTTTTACTAAAGTAACAGACTTGAAGCAGAGAGGAGGGGCGCCGCATGGGCTGGCCGTCCTGACACAGGCACGAGTAAGGTGTCAAAGGACTAAAAGAAAACTAAGGTCATGACTACACAATCATGGCTTGTTTTCAACCTGGAGCGCTCTCCGCCCCTCATCACCCCAAACTACTTGATTTCCCCCCGCTGTTGGGTGTTTATCAGACTGTAGTAGGGCATGCTCTGCGCTGACAGTACATGCGCTCGCTGAATGGCTGCGTTATGTAACCTCTCGCTGCACTGCTGCATCTCTCTGGGATGAGCAGAGGTGCAAGAGGAATAAAAAAAGAAGAAGTGCCTTCTGTGAGATTGTTGGGGGGACCCTGAAAATACTTGAAAGCAAAAAAAGGCTCCTTGTCTGAGACCCTTTTTTTAGCTACTTACAAGGCTTTATATTGTTTCCCTCTCATGGGCCTAGATCAGTAATGTCATTTACAACCACTGCTATCACTCCCATGTGATTAGCAACCTCATAGCAACGTGTGCAAACAAAAGAAAGAAACACTGGACTTACCTCCTTCTTTTTACTACATATCCACCTCCTGTCTACAACTCCACTTCCTCTGAGGCGGTTCACATCCACCTGAATGCACACCACAATGCAACCATACCGAAATACAACATCCTCTGCTCTTCACTTAAACAAATGTTTTACGTTCAAACAGTGCCTCACACAGGTCTTAAATATTCAGTGGGGACAAGAATTGTAAATAATAATAATGATATTTATTATTGCCGTGACTTACACATTTAATGAACACAGAATTTATTTATTTATCTATGAGAGCATTTTTTTGGCTGTTTGTGTGTATTTCATTCCACAGTCACTGAAGGGCCCACGGATTATTTAAAGAGACAAACAAAGATTTTTTATTTCTGACCATATTTATGGCGTGGAATTATTTTTTAAAGAGCAGATGTTTGTGTGTATGTCATGTATATAACGTGTAAATAGTCCCAAAAAAGCACTTCCATCTTAATGTATCTGAACATTGGACGTCTACTGATGGTAACAGTTTTTGTTATGCTGTTGTCTGCTGAGAGAGCGAGTGGATTCTGAATGTGTGTGAATGAAAGTGTGTGAGATTGAGAAAACCTTTCTGTTTTCATGACTGCAGGTTGGATTGTTTTTTTCATCAATTCGAACTAGAATTGTAAATGATCTTAGAAACAATTTTTATACGATTTCAATAAATATTTTTTTAACAATGACTTTTGACTCCTTCGTATTATCTTACAGAATGTTGTTGTGACCCTTGCCATGTACTGTAGCTCCAAGTAGTCATGTTAAAGAAAGTACTTAGACTGAACCAAATGTCATACATGTAAAACAGTTACAAACACACAATTAGAATTTACTAGGTCAGAAGTATACCATTTCTCAGCAAGTTTCCTGTTTGACACCTTTTGTAGAGAAGCAGCGCATGCAGAGAAGATGAAGAGATAAGAGGAGACAGGGCTGGTGGAAGGCAGATAGCAAAAAAAGTGGGGCGGGTTGCATACAAATAGGAAAACGCTATCTCAAAACATTCCTGGAATTGACTTTCTACTACAAACTGAGGTGTTTAAGACTAGTAAGCAGCACTGAGTTCATTAGTGATAGAAACCTATTCATTAATTCCACCTTAATCCAAAGATGCACACATGCAGGAACAGGAAATGACTCACTCACATTAATCTGACATAATGTATAAAACAGCTTTATGTTAAATATTATGAAATAATTTACCCAGAAGCATGGCTATATTGAAGTGTTTGGAAGCCTTGGGGCAATCATTTGTTATTGGCCACTGGTACTTCACTAAGAAAAATGACATCCTCATTTTTTTAAATACATAATAATAATATATATTCATTGTATTATGCTTAGCACTTTTCCAAGTGCTCAAAGCGCTTTATATTACATATTGCATATATTAGACATGTAATACATTGAATACTGTGGACAATACCCACAGGGGCAATTTAGGGTGAAGTGTCTTGCCCAAGGACACACGGCATGTTGAGATTGAACCTGTGCTTCCCTGGTCACCTGACCTGATGATCAACACACCAAACCAAAGCCACATTTCTTTTGACATTGATGGAAAAGAGGTCAAGGAAACATATGCCAATACAATCCAACTGTACTTACAGTAGGTTATTAAGCAGCAGCTGATTCTTACCTTAGGATGATCCAGTGTTCCCTCTGCTAAAGGAGAAAAGAAAGGATGCATGGAAGCATCTTCTCACAGCATTTATAGAATTCTACTAGCTCTCATCATGGCTGCCACTTAATTACATTTACTCAGTTAGGAACCTTCCTGAGCAAAAATAAACAACTATTTGACCAAGTCTGGTCCCAGAGAGTCATGTAAACTCACATCAAGTTTTTAAACTTGACACAAGGCTCCTCTACGAAAATGTAGTTGTACTGCAAAAATACCAAAGGTACAACAAAGTACAACTATAATCCTGAAAAATAGAAATGATTTTATCACTCTGTATTAGTTTACTTTTGATTCAATAAAGCCAAATACAACCAGACAAACAACTACATTACTCATTTAATATTTTCTAACTACAATAAATCCAAAAATATTTTTGAAACTACCAGACAGTAGCCAGACAGTGAGATGTCTGCAGTGTCGGGCATGTGACTTTCCTAAAAAAAAAAAAATCCATTCATAATTGTTTGTATAGTTGTAAATTGCGTCACACAATCTCAAGGCAGACATTGACTTGCATGCTTTGGCCTTTAGAACCGCTGGTCTCCAAAGTACTATTACTCGTGATACTTAACTTTTACTGAAGTAAAAACATCTAAATGTGTTACTTTTATTTGTAATTGCTTAAAAGCTTGGAGTATTTTTCAAAATATAAACAGAACTTTGACTTAAGTCAGGGGTGTCCAAACTACAGCCCCCGGCCAACTGCGGCCCATAAGACAATTCTAAAAGTATATTGAAATACGGCCCACTCCTAAAACCTGTGCTTTTCTTATATTGTACTGTAAAAATATATTACACAGTAGTATTCATGTTTTTATAAGCCCATGTTTTTATAAGCCCACTTTTCAAAGAAATTCAGTCAATTAAAGTTTAAAACATTTTCTAACAAACCCTTGTTGATAAAAGAAAAGCCCAATAACTTATATAAAATAAATAAAACCCTGTGAACTAGTCTGTTATTTGTTTTCTGAAAGCATATTCAAGTATCAAGCATATTTTAACCTACATTAGATTGACTTTGCTATCTTATCACTTAATTTATGAGGCAATATATCTCACCTCTAGTGAGTGGCCCAGCCTTGGCTTTCGTATATTTTTATGTATGAGGCCCTAAGTGAAAACACTTTGGATATCCCTGACTTAAGTTAAGGATAAATGTACTACTTAAAGCATCAGTTGGAAGCTATAGTAACCACCTTCACAGCTGGATGTTAGCTACTGTCATCTTTGGTTTGAATCCCACTGAGAGGATGCTCTGGTGTGTTAATGTAGACATTGAGTGGAGATAGTGGCCAGCAGGCAGCAGCCTATCAGGGATCTGTTCCTCTGAAACAATAAGAGTTGGGGGGTTAATCAGTTGTGACGCTCCTGTGGGACTTCTGGCCTCACTGCTAATCTTCTTGTCAGACGGCGCTACCGGCAGCGAAACATAGATTTACGCAACCGCAAGCAACATGGTGGTTGGTTCCCATCAGTGTCTGTCAGGTGAATACAATGTGAATTTACCAGCTATGATTAGAATGACTGGATGGGGACTAAAATGCAAATGGACGCCATATTGGCCGTCATTATTCTCAGACACGTTTCAAGTCATAAATAAACCAATTCAAAGTCCTGCAGTGGCTCCATGCAAGTCACAATGTCTATTTTGGTATCAGATAATAATAGAGGCCATCAAAGGAAATGAGCCCTAAAAATAAAATGGCATTTCAAAGTGGAGTGTCAGTCTTCAGTAGTCCTTGTGATGTGATGCTGGTTCTCTTCAGCAGGTACTCACACAGCATACAATTTCCCTGAAAAGATTACAGTGTGTTGTAGACCACAGGTAGTTTTCTGCGAAATACCTCACCATTCATTTCCCCTCTCTTTCTGAGAACCACATGCCACATCTGACTCTGCATGTTGGCTGCCGTTGTTAAGCATGTTCTAAAATGCAGCTTAGAATTTCTGCATTTCCATATTTCCTAGTATTTCAGCTGTAAAGCATTGGTTCAGTCTTCTTCATCCTTCAGTTTTTATTCAATTATGGATGCAAAAGGCATGGCAGGTAATCGTTGAATGAAAACCAAAGATATAATCTATTTTGGTCTTCTTTGCAATGATGGTTGCCACTTTTCTTTAACACTCCCTGCTCAATAGCAAACGAGAAGTTGGACAGAAAGATTCTACACAATTATTATAATGGTGCTTTACAACTGCTAGATCTGTAAATATGTAACTGTTTGTTTGCTATACATTTAGAAGGTGATGATATGTTATTATTGTGTTTACAACCTGGTTCCATTGACCCCAGTTGGAGAAAATAAGAGAATATTGATACCATGTTGAACAAAAGGCCACAGCCAGCAGCCAGTTAGCTTAGTTTAGCATAAAGATTGGAATACATTTGATGGAAACAACTAATTCACATTGCTGATTTTTACTTGTTTGCAGCCATTCAATTGGGGTAAGCAAATGGTTGTTTAATCAGAAGTGGCTGATAGGCGACGATTTACATATGGCTGTTATCAGATCAGAGAAGTAGACGTGACCGCTGTCCCAACCATATGAGAGGAAATTGGATAAAGTTCTTTAGAAATCAGTTTGAATTACACATTGTCAGCTAGTATTGGCCATGTTTCAGGCTCTTTGGAGCAAAGACTACCTAATATATTATTGACAAGGAGGCTGATAGCGGAAAAACTGATTAGTCATGCTAAGCTAAATGTTTGCTAGGTCCAAACTCTTTTTCGACAAACCCAGTATGCACCTCAGAGCCAGCTTAGAAAAGCAATTCAGGCACAGGTAAAACTTTGAACTCCTTTTAATCTTAGATACAAGTTTACATTTTGGGCAATTCTATAGACACAACAGTGATCTGTGTTGTCCTATTGTTCATGCTGCTTGTTTGTTGACCACACATTTCCCTGCACTCGTGGAGATACCCATCATGCAAACAGTATTCAGAGTCCAACACGGTTTGGGTTGGGTATTTGCATGGACTGTTGGTGAGTCACTCTCTCTGAGCTGGCTGTCTAAGTTCAAAAGTGAGTCATCACCAAAGTAGAGCCGGCTGAAAAAAACAACTAACACTGTCTATGTTTAGCAGTCAGAAGAAAAGACCCATTGGCCAGTCATTTGTGTGTGACCTACAGATGATAATGAGTCAATGAGTGTCATCTGTTTTGATCACATTACAGAGGCAATGTGTTCTTCCCCTCTGAGCTTTACTCAGCCTCAGGAGGCGTAACTGACCTGAGACATCCTCCCCGCCTCACCGGTGAGAGCTGATTGGCTCATCGTTCTCTAATTCCCGTAAGTCGTGATCTGCACCTTCTTATGAAAAAGATAAAGCTCTGCTGTTGCATTATCACCCTCCTGCCTGTTCAAACTGTGAGCCGCAGATGTGAGGCAATGTTGACAAGGACTTCCTTCATACTCAGCCCCCCCCCGACTCTGTCTATCTCTCTGTCACTGTCTATCTCCATCTATCTGCCTGCTTGATAAATACACTACAGGCACAGACACAAACACATTCTTTAAACTCTCACAGATTAATTGGAAATCATATGTGCACTGGTTCGGTCTGTAAATCATGATGTTGAGAGATGGGCCTACACACATGCACATATATGAAATCTGTAGTGTTAGCCTACGCAGTAAGGATAAGAGGGACGATTATAAATCAAGACAGTAAATACCTCAATTACAGCGAAACAGGGCTGTTTAAAAAAGTCATTATAAAAGCTTTCAAGCACGCACAGATTTAATTTCACTATAATTATGAGGGCCTGAAATTGACCTACATGCCATAGCTGCTACTTCAATTTGAACCTAATCCCTTAGGTGTAAAATAAGAATAAGTACTTACCATACTTAAGGGCAGTTTTGAGGCACTATAAATGAGTATCTAATTTGTGCAACTATTCCTTTGCATTGCAAATAGGAAATGTTTCACTTTTTTTCTCACATCTTGTATATTTTGATTGTTAGAAAAATGATATAACACTGAAAATATATTTA